ATCGTCCTGGAAATCCCATGTTAGTGACGTTACTGGGATGTGTCTAGGCGCAGCCTTGGGCTGTATACCTCAGTCTAGTGCTAAGGCACCTGCTCGATAAATGTGCACTCCTTCGCAGGCCTCCATCGCAGGCCACCATTTACCAATGCGCACGCCAACTCGTGGCCATCAGCACTACTTGTCCATCGAATTTTGCTTTCTCACTTGATCACAATGGTATCATGCTTATGTTGGTTACAAAAGAACACTCCAAACATCTTTCGCTCCGTTACTCCCTCTATCATAGTCTTAGCACGAATTTTATTGCTTTGAGGACTCATTCGCAATTGTCTTTAGCCAGTGGGAAAACGCAAAACACATCGGATTCCGATACAAGGCTGCAAAAATCCTTCCTATAATTTTGAAAAATTTTGGGGCTGCTGATAAAAATTACCAGCAGAAAATTGGAAAAATTTGGTTCTGTTTTGTTTAGGAAAACTTGCGCTCATGAAACGCTCAGGAAAGTAATTTCGATTAACAAGAAGTTTCAAGGGAATCTAAGTAAGGAGACGGCAACAGTCCATTCTTGTGCGGTACCTTCATTTTGACGGTTTCTGGAGTGTCGTATCCATACCATTGGTTTCCTTTCACCATGTAGGCACCAACGCCTTCCTTGTCTACTGTTTCTTTGCCACCATCTTTTAAATAATCACAGATCTATAACTACGCATTCATTAAAATCAACAACAACGGCTTTGAGCATCAATGGTAATAGCGTGAAAGCGCTTGCCTCCCAGTACGAAGCTGTTCCACCGTCCGGATTCGTCGTCGACGGTGCACTTTTTCCACTTCCTTCTGATCCAATTGCTGTTTTTGAAGGGTCTTTCAGTGTCCATCCTTGGCCGTATGTCGGGATTCCTATTATAATTTTTTCCTTCGGCATACCTTTCTCTGCCCAATATTTGGCCGCGAATTCCTGAAAGAATTTAGACTTGATTTCGTAGCAAAAAAATAAATTCTTTATTTATCGAACAGGGCATGAACAGAACAAGCTACCAATATGCAGCAGATTTTATCCAGGAAGTATATTTAAAGTAACCAGTGAATTTGAGCACTCGTAGAAATGGAGGTCGAAAAAACTTGCAGAATCAAAATATTATGTTCTCGGGCTAGATTGGAAGAAGAAAAATTAATTTGGCAAATGTGATCTTTTACTTATATAACTTTAAATCCCAGCAACTAGAAACGTAAATATTACGTAAGAAGTAATGAGCTTTTTTTTTTCATAGTAGTGATTTTCTTCAGTAAATTTCAAAAATATTTTTTTTACTTCAGAAAATTTTCTGAAGTAATATTTTTGCACATTTGTAACGTGTTCGCCTGGTAAAGTTAACTTGACGGCGGTCGACCTCGAAAGCCTCGACTGAACGACTGACACTGTACGAATAACTGCTGAATAAACGCGCTTCATCCACCTTCAAGTTAGGTTTGGTTGGATGTAAGCAGGGAACTGAGGCCAGTAGTCGACCAAACTCGCGCCCAACCACTGAATTTATATACCGTTCCTCAGAAGAAGCAGCTCATAGACAAGGGATCGAAAAGTGTGAATTATTCGATGGAGCCTTTAGTGGCCTTGGTGATACAGAAAAAAAGCTAGGTCAATAAGCAGAATTTATATGATTCTAAACCCCTACATTATAATCCGGGAGCACGGTTGGATAAAATTTTTGCCTTGAGAGATTTCGTCACAACTCGTATATGCGACTCCAATAATCTTCTTTCATATGTTAGCGGTATTTCGGCTCTTCCTTGTTATACATTTTTGCTGTGCAGCGCTATAGCTCTGCTATAGTGAGCAAGAACGCATATTGTAAAGGTCGTTAACGAGTAAACTTTATCACCCACTCCCAAATCAGCCACCAGCAAGGTTAGGAAGCTGAAATTTTGAGGTCTTATTCCAGCCTCATGTGTCATCCTTCTGTTTCGAAATTTTTTGCTTCCATGCGGCTAAATCTCTCGTTAGCTCGAAAAAGATATGCGACTTTCTTTGGCGGGGAACGATTTCGTGAACAAATTAGAAAGCTGAAACTTTGCTGTTATATTCTCTGTGCACACAGCTAAAGATTCCAAATTCAGCTATCGCGCATGCCCGTGCCGCACGTGTAATCACGTTGAAGTTTACGGCCGGCACTGTGCCAACTCGAAAACTAGCTGGAAAAAAGCAGTTGAAATTTTGTCAGAATATATATTGTTTATATGGAAAATTGTATGCTTAAATTAAGTTTCGATTTCCATTTACACAACGACGTGGGGCTCTTCAAATGGGTATTTCGCTTACCAGACAATCTGCGACGCTGATAATTTGCAGAGACTTCTCAAGCCGTGTATGGCCATAATTTAATTTGGAGGTGAAATTCCCTGCACGCATACGTGACAAATACTTAATTTTACCGAAAACTCAAAAGCGAGTGCTTTTTGCAGATTTCGTGATCCTCTCCCGACTTCCTTCAAATTTGCATTTTTTTCAGTGAACAAGCATTCATTGGAAAAACGTCCGAACTTCATGCAACAAACTGATAATGATGCACTTTGGACGTCCATACGGCCCCACAATGCAGAACCTTCATCCAGCTGGTCCCCTTCCCATGCATGTGGGAAGAGACCAAAACACAGCAGTGTGGGTACAAGGGTTTTAATCACAACGCAGAAACCATTCCTGCTATTAGCAATCTGCAAGTTTGGTGCAAAAACACATGATCGCACCAACAAGTCTGGTGTTTTACGGCCTGGGATTTGCTTAACTTACGAAATCGCAATATCGATCCTATTTACAAGCTTGTGCAGACTCTAGTTAAAACCCTATGTGTTTGATTGTCATTGATTGATATTAGCTGGATGCTGCAACTTCGATGTCAAACTTTTCAGTCAATACGCCCAAACTCCAAAGCCATATAAATCAGTGCAAAAAATTACAGTGTTGTAGATGCCAGCGCCGACAACTTCTCCTTTTGTTGAATGCAGCTTCCCATGCAGATCGACGTTACCCTCCCAAGGGCCGTGCAGGTCGTATGACATCAGGAACAGAAGGTCAAAATCTCTGAAACAAAGTTCCATGTTTTTTTTTTTTCAATTTTTTTTTTTTTGTATTTTTGCATATTTATGCAAGTAAAAAAATCCTATTAGCAAGAGATATGGGTGTGTGTGTGTGTGTGTTATGCGTATGTTTGTGTTATGTGCGTGTATGTGTGTACTCACTTCTTGTCACCCGCTTTCAACAAAGCAGCCAGAGAAGTTAGGAAGCTGTC